GAATCTTAGTAACCAAAATACCTGCAACCTACTGAAACTACAATAGCCATTCAAATCAATCTGGACTGACAAAACTGTGATCCTGGCTGATAGAGAAAAAAAATCAGCTAAAGCAAATTATTGGCAAATCGATTTGGTATAGTCAAAAGATGCCATTATGTGGAAAAAATAAATGACCCTAAATATGAGCAAGATTGGAATAGTAAATTCCGAATAAAGAACAAAATTAAATTGTAAGTTAGGCCAAGCTGACTAAGCCGATGAAATTTATTAGCTTGGTCATAGCCGAAAATTATGCATGACCAGGATCACTAATACTAGAGTGTCCAGAATTCTACAATTTTTATATTTTTCTGCATATAATTGTACAGATTTTTATAGCTATTCTGGCTAGCACTACTGGTATTATTAAGCAGAGAATTTGATTGACTTATAACAATCGTCAAATATTAAGTTTTCACTCAAGGCTGATCTGGATTCTGCAAATTCGACAATTTCGGTGAATTCAACAAATCCAGCAAATTCACTGCAGAATTTGCAATTGCAGAATTCTAGACACCCTAATATTACTATTGTAATAGTATTTATTTAGTTATCTACAATAGTTTATGCGCTGTCACATGACCCAAACTTTAGAATGGATAAAATTCTATTTTTCATTTATGTATAGTAATAGAAAAAAGATATATAGATTTTTTTTAACCAGGCCATATTCAAGCTAATTAGCCTAACGCTAAATTAACACTTAAATCTGAATAATAATGGTTGAATATGTATTCACGCCAAGTTTGCATGTATATTTTTTTATGTAGTATATACGTACTATATATATTATACATATCATATATATAATTTTTCAAATTTTTTAATCTATTTTTATTATTAATTCATTTTTATTAGCTATTTCCAAATAAATTTACAAATCTGCCAAATTTGCATGTAAACGTACACCTTCCGCAGCATGCTTGAAATTTTGCGACACTAGTAAATACCGCCATCGGCATAAAAGAGATGGTATATCGCATATTTAAAAATATGATGCCACATATAAACCGTAAGGCAATTGAACTTGATCTTACTTGGTGCTATAATACAATACAAGCATTATAACATCTTATTGATAGCTAGGTAGATCCTCAATTTAATACACAAACTAATGCGATAAATAATCTTGCAATGGATCCAAGCCTTTACACAATATTATCAGGTTGGTATGCTACAGAAAGTCAATCGGTTTTTATAAATAATCAAAGTGTTGAAAATGATAATAAACAGTAAGTATATTGATTTACTAGTAATAAAGTCATTATTATTTATTAATTTAGTTGTTTTTCATAGATACCACTATAGTATGTTACGATCAAAGCATTATTGACATTTCACTTGGTAATAAGTGGAATAAAAATAAAGTTGAAAGCGTAGACATATCAAAGAATTTAGATGCTAAACATCCATTTTTTCAAGACCTTTTTAATGCATATGCCGATTATTTAAATTCAGGTTCTGCATTGATAAACAGAAAGTTGGAATTTTTTTTTTGACTATCCCAGATTGCCTAAGTGGCATGTGAGGCATATGTGGTGCTCTTTATTAAATTCTTATATATTAAATATTAATTAACATTACTAAGAAATTTACAAATTTTTCTATTTACAGAACCCAAATAGGAGTTTAAACTTAGAGCTCGAATTTCTTTTTGAATTCAAGTACTAATGATTGAGAGAATTGATGCTTCTACATTATTTGCATTGCCCTATTTGGCATTTGTATACCAACACCAAATTTCATATATTGTGATTATGTGAATCCATATTGCTGTGTTAAGGTGATTCCGCTCACCAAAGTTTTTTGCAGTAAAGATTTCCTCCAAAGAGGATGGGATGCTTGGTTTTCATCTTATGTTGATCAGTTTGTAAGCTTCTGTCTATATCTTCTTGCTAATTCTGCAATCTGTTGCAAAATGTTCAATTGTTTGTCAGTTATTTCACACCATGAGCAGGAGCCTGATTCCTGGGCAGAAATATGTTGAAGTCTGTAACCTAGTAGTAAAGCTCTATGCGCAAGACGCCAAAAGATATCTCTTTTCTTGTTGTCAACTCCTTTAAGAAGTATCCAGTTCGGTGCTGAGTTTGAAAACAGTGACTGATTAATTTTGCCAGATGTTAGGTCCCCTCTAAGTAGTTCAGTTATCTTTTTAACTGTAACTTCGTCTCTTTTAATTCCCCCTAGAGAGAGGTTTTCAAGACTCCAAGGCCAATTTGTATGGGAGAAAACTCTCTCATCCGCTTTCTTTCATACAAGAAGGTAGGGTTTCCATTCTGGAGACCAGGCTTTATTGCGTATCGAAGAGCTGGTTAAGGCTTGTCTGATTGAGATGGTTTGTTGTCTATATAATATGTCTGCAATTCTTGACCATTCAACTTTTGCCCAGAATATATTACCAGAAAGAAGTTTGAGCCAGACCATCAAAGCTCTTGCATCAAGTAGATTGCTTATAATAGGGGCTTGGAGCCCTCCTTGTTCATAAGACTGTTGGTAAGTGGAATATTTAGGGAGCATTCTTGGATTGCCTTTTATCCAAAGTGTAATTAGACAATTTATTTCTGCAATCTGTTTTTTGTTTGGAGGTAGAATATAGACTATATACCAAATTTGAGAAAGAACTAAAAAGTTTGCAACCAAAATTTTCCCTTTAAAGGATAGATTTCTAAAAGCAAGATTGTTCAGTATGTCTTTGAGTTTGTTAATTGTGTCTGTTCATAAATTCTTTTTACATAGGCCATTTGGATAGACTTCATAGCTCAGAAGAGTTATAGAGTTATTTTCTTCTGTATTCTCAAATTGGTCAATGTTCGGTAGATTCGCTTTTCTTGCCAGTGTAGTTAAAGGGACCACTTTGGTTTTGTGTTTATTGACTTTTGCGTTTGAGGCTTTTTCATATATGTCAAATAAATTCTGAACTTCTATCCAGTCTAAAAAAGAGCTGATTCCTATAATTAGGTCATCAGCATAAGCTACTGTTTTAAAGAAGATGTTGTTCACTGGAATTCCCCAGATTCTATTGTTTATTGATTGAATTAGTGGCTCAAAAGCCAGAACATATAATAAAGGAGAAAGAGGGTCTCCTTGTCGAACACCTCTTTCAACTCTGAATGGTTCTGAGAGAGAGCCCTTCTCGAAAATATACACTATTTGGTTTGTGAAGAGATTATCTATTAGACTTGTGAATTTTATGCAGAAGCCCATTTTTGAAAGAACCATTTGCAAAAATTTGTAATTAACTTGGTCAAAAGCTTTTTGTTGGTCTACTAGAAGTAGCCAGTGTTGCTTTGAGATATCTGATTGGTTTCTCATAGTTGTAAGAACATCAAGTGCGGCATCTGAGATTGATCTTTTTGTGATGAAACCTTGTTGATGTGATGGAATTAATGTATTGCAGACTCTATTCAGTCTAGATACAATGATCTTTATGAAGATTTTGGCATTACAGTTTACTAGAAAGATGGGTCTCCAGTTGTTTATGTTGCTTAAGTCTGAGGATTTTTTCGGGATGAGAATAATTAGATTTTTGTGCCAGGAATTTGGTAAGTTTCCAGAGTTCAAGACCTGATTAAAGATGATTTCTAGAATTGGAGTTATATGTTTCTCTGTTAATTTGTAAAATTTATATGTTGAGATAGCTTGTGTAAGTTCAGAGTTTTCTTGATGCGAGATTGTAGGAAGTGTAACCATGATTGAAGCAGCTGCTTTTGAGTCTATACCTTTATCTTTGTAGATTTTAGTGTATTTTTTCTTTTATGTATTGTAGTGTTTGATTTTCTTTATTTTGTATATTAGCCTGCTCCGGGTTTTGAATTGCAAGAAGAAGTATCTGGTAGATTTTTCTCCTTGTTTGACCCAATTGGCTTTTGAGTGAGTTAACCATCTCTCTGCTAGTTGGGAAAGCTCATCTTGTATCTGTATGTTAAGATTGTTTATTCTCGATTGCATAGTTGTTTGTTCAGAGTTTGCTGCTAAAGAGTCTTTAAGTTTGGTTATTTTTTTATTCAGGGTTATTATCTTACTTTTGGAAGCTTTGGGTTTTATGCAAACTTTGTGCCAGTCCCAGTCTGATGCCGAGTTGACAGATTTAATTTCTTCAATGACTTCTTTTTCTAATAATTTGTTTTTAAAAGAGTCTTTATTAAACCTCCAACTGGATGTCTTTTTTGCTTCATTTTCTAGAATGAGAGTATATTTGACTAGCAGGTGGTCTGAGTTTCCGTAGAGAGTTTCAGTTTTTTTGATTAAAAAATCATAGTTCTCATCTATAAAAATATAGTCTAGATGTGTAGCCATCAACTGATTATTTCTTGTATTCTGGTAGAATGTAAGAAAAGGTTTTTTCTCCAAAAGAGATGCAGAGTCCAGAAAGTTGTTTAATAGCCTTTTAAGTTTTAATCTTGATGTGTCATTTTGTGCATTGGCTTGTTAAAATCTCCTGCAATAATGTTTATCTTGTCTTCGTCAAAAAGAGGAATCCAATTTTCAAAGAAAGCTATTTTGTCTTTCATATTCGGTGGAGCATAAACATTTGTGATCTTGAAGAAATGCTTTTTATATAAGACGTCTGCTGTAATAACCCTTTCTTCATGAGAGGTTTGCGGGTTTTGAAGTTTTAGATCTTTTCTGCCAGCCAGTATTGCAGTTTTGTCAGTCCAGATTGATTTGAATGGCTATTGTAGTTTCAGTAGGTTGCAGGTATTTTGGTTACTAAGATTC